CCCACACTCTTATATAAACATATTTACATATGTACATTCCAGTCTTAAAACCTCTATAAATACCCTTTGTCACCTAGTTCTTTCCTCTATTTCCTTCTACTCTCCTCCTGTGCCCTCCCCTGGATTTTGTACCACCTCTCCTTTCATCTTTGCTGAAGAGTTTGCTCATATTCTTTGTCAATTTTTTAATTGGATTCTTTGTCATTTTGTATCAGCTGAGATTAAAAAAAAAGTTTTATTGTATTGTTGAACTGAGTTCTTAAAAATACTACTTATTTGAGAAGAATGGATCTTTGCTTGAGCTGATTCTGCATTCAAGTTCTCTTATCTGCTCAACAAATGATTATTGGATGTCTCTTAGGTGCCAGGCCCTATGAAGACATACCAGTGTAAGCTACATAGGCATTCCCTTTGTTTGATCTCCCCTGGGTAGCTCTAGGGGTGACTCATTAACTGCTTTCAGGGATATACAGATATAAAACAAAGAGTATGCTGATTCATTTCTCCATTATCTGTAGAATCTGAGTAATACTTCAAATAAAACATTGTTTCGATCAAAGTAGGAAAATGATACACTCATTAACAACTGGATATTTTACATCTAAACTCATTTAACAGGAGGAAACTGAAACCAGCAGATTATCTAATGTGGTCAATGTCACCAAGGCCAACCTGGGGCCCAACAGCTATTCCCTAAATATTAAGCTACCCACACTTCTCTCCATTATGCTTTCCAGGAGAACTGGTCTACCTCAACGAGGGTCACAGGCCTCAGGGAGTAAACTATCTTTAAAGCATTACATGGGGGACATGTTCTGAGTAAACAAAGAAATCCTACCTGAACTATATCCTTTGATTGAAGCAATTATCTGATTTAATATTTGTTTTTCACAGACTCCACTATCGACTCTTGGCATAGCTCTGAAATTCCATAACTATTCAATAGCCAAGAAGAGTTTGAAAGGCTGTGACCATGGATGGTGGGAAATTAATGAACACATGTAAGTGTATGTAAGGGTTTTCTATAAGCAAGGACCCTGGTGAAAGACTTCCCAGAGATTCACGGCCTAGATTCCTTGGCCCCCAAAGAGTTGGCACTTTACTAGTTACTATTTACAGTTGAGGAAACTGAGGGGCTTAGGGAGTAAATGACAAAGTCACTCAGTCACTAGCAAGTGATTGAGCCAGGATTTGTCTGTAGGATTTGTGTTTCTTGAGTCCCTGCTCTGCCCCTGTTCTATGCTGTTGGGATATGAACATGCAGATCCTGTGGTTTACAGAATCGTTTGGTAGACGACACATGCCACCCAGTTGGTTCTGGTTCACAGTGACCTCTGTGTACGACACAGCGAAACACGGGCTGGTCCTGGGTCATCCTCACAATAGTTATTTTTGAGCTCATTCTTGTAGCCCGTCTGTCAATCTTTCTTATTGAGGATTGATTTGTTGTTGTTGTTGTTCTTGCTAACCCTCTACTTTCCCAAGCATGGTGTCCTTTTCCAGGGACTGGTCCCCCTGGTAACCTGGCCAAAGTAGGCCAGAAAAAGTCTTGCCATCCTTCCTTCTAAGGAGCCTTCTGGTTGTACTTCTCCCCAAACTGATTTGTTTGTTCTGACAGTCCATGGTTCTTCAGTATTCTTTGCCAACACCATGATTCAAATGCAGCAATTCTTTTCTGGTCTTCTTTATGTTTACTTTCCATACTCATATACAGATGAGGCAAGCGGAAATGCCGTGGCTTGCATCAGATATATCTTTGCTCTCAAAGTGACATCTTTACTCTTGACTCTTTAACACAGTGGTTCTCAACCTTCCTGATGCCATGACCCTGTAATACAGTTCCTCATACTGTGGTGACCCACCCCCCCAACCATAAAATTACTTTCATTGCTACCTCATAACAACAATTTTGCTACTGTTATGAATCAGGTGACCCATGTGAAAGGGTCGTTTGACACCCAAAGGGGTTGTGACTCACAGGTTGAGAACCACCGCTTTAACACGTTAAAGAGGTATTATGCAGTAGATTTGTTAAATGCAATAAAGCATTTGATTATTTGACTGCTACTTCTGTTGGCATTAGTTATGGATATAAGTAAAATAAAATCCTTGACAACTTCAATCTTTAGCAAATTTGGTAGATAAAGTCTTTCAAATCATGGAGTCATTGGGAGAAATAGCAAATAGGGATCCTGGCAGTGCAAAAGCTGTTAGCCAATTATGTGCGGTATAAACCAAACCAAACCAAGGGGCAGGGAGTTGGTTCTGACTCATGGTGACTGCATGTGTCGCAGATAGATCAGTAGGAATTGACCTTCCAATGGCAGGTCACCAGGTCTTTCCCCTGAGTTTCCTTGGATGGCAAGTTGATGAGATCAAAACACCAGCCTTCTGGCTCTTTTTTTTTTTTTAATTAAAAGACATTATTTATTTTGTCTTAACTGACTTTAAAAGCAATTTTTGTCTGATTTACATAATGTTAATTTATTAAAAGATAATTTTATTGTGGGATCTTATAACAATCCATACATCAATCGAATCAGGCATATTTGTACATGTGTTGCCATCATTCTCTTCTAGACATTTACTTTCTATTGAGCCCTTGGTATCAGCTCCTCTCTCTCCCCCCATGAACCCTTGATAAATTATTATTATCATTATTTTTAATCATTTTATTGGGGGCTCATACAACTCATCACAATCCACACATACATCCAAGTCTATGTGCACCTCCCAGGGACACGTCTGTGCAGCAGACTGGGACTGGAACCTAAACCTGACACATGAATTGAGGCAGCTAGAAAGAGGCTAAGAGAAGTCAAGGTGTCTGGGCTTCCTGAACTCACTTAATGGGTCCTCATTCTTATCTTACTTTTCTAGTTGTTCTGTATCTGCTGTCAAAACGATAAGAGCTCCTTGTCTCAATAATAAAGGATGCTCTGTCTGTTATCGGAAGAAGTTCTCAGTTCACTTTGAGATAAGAGTCATTGTGAGGTTTAAGCATGCATCTGCTAATTCTTTGATCATTGCTATTCCATGAATGAAACCTCTCCTTTCTAAATGATTTCCCAAAACTCTTTTTCCATTTCTTTAGATGCTTAGATGGTCCTGTCTTTATTAGAGTTACTATCTGATGGAAAAGTATCTCGAATCCATTACTAAGATATAACTCAGGACTACAATGACCTTTTGGGGGTTATTTGGGATCTATTGTGCAGAAGTCAGATTAGTTGGGCTCAAATTTTAGCACTGTCATTTATTAGTTACATTAATTTTGGCAAATTGTTTAATGTCTTTGGCTTTTAGTTTGCCAAATGGGGGTTCAAAATTCTTGCTTAATATTAAGTTTTTGCTTTGTTTGCTAAGCAGTCAATGAAAGGAGGTGTACCCCACATCAAAAAGCATTACCCATGATTAATATGATTGGATGGTTCCTTTGGGAATGGCACTAGATTGTAATATCCTATAAAATATGTCAAGGTTTTAAGGAAATGGCATTTTCATGATTACTTAAAAAAAGAGATCCAGAAAGCAAATCTTTATATATCTTTTGTGAAGCTATAGACTATAGAAAGAATGAACTTTGAAAACGAGATACTATTTTCCCCACGAAGTAACAGTAACCTGCGAGGTGCTGCAACACAAGTAGAAGAAAGGCTTGCTCAGCAATAGGAGGAAAGCTCTCTGCTCCGATATTTTCCAGACAGGACCTGTGTTCTTTCCTTCCTCCATCTCCTGGGCTGGCTAAAATCCTATCCAATTTCTGTGCACCCTCAGGCCTTAAAATGTCAGAGCTCCCCATGATCGGATCTTTACATCTAAAGTGGAAAGACTAATTGAACAAATTCTTTTTACACCTTGCTGTGGAGTTAGGCCAAGGGAATTGGAGCTGTACGGAAGAAGGAGGAAAAACCAACATTGACAATAGGACACCTAGTGACCGAGTAGGTCAGTGACTGGTGGGTGAGATATACAGTCTCTGGGCAGAATAGGTACACTATCAATTGGAAGGGAATGGACAGAGTCCCCCAAAGCTCCCGACGGAAAGAGTGTGGTGGTCGAGAAAGTGCTAGTTTAGCATCTCTACTGATTGTTGTTAGCTACTGTCAAGTTGGCAGACTCATGACAACCTGTGTGTTACATGTTATATTTGCTAATTAGGGCCTTTCAATTTTGTATTTTGTTTTGGAGAATATACACAGCAAAACATACACCAACTCAACTATTTTAAATGTACAATCGGTGATATTGATGATATTGTTCTAATGGTATAACCATCCTCACCCTTTTTTTCGGAGTTGTTTCTCCCTATTAACATAAACGCATGGATCCCTGAAGGTCCTATCTGATCTCTGGATTTGCTATTGTGATTTTGATACCATGTTGTTGTTGTTCGGTGCTGTCTAGGTGGTTCTAACTCATAGCACCCTGTGTGCAACAGAACCCCAAACCTCACACCTTCCCCAAGAGACAGACAGCATCATGGCAGGAGAAAAGATCGAAACTGGCAAGGATTTCAGCTTACCCATATCCACCAGCAACATTTATGGAGATAAGTAGCCAAGAAATTAGATGGCATGTTATATTGGCACATCTGCTGCACAGGACATATTTAAAGCATTAAAGTGAAAAGATGTCACCCTGAGTACTAAGGTGCACTTGACCCAGGCCATGGTCTTTTCAATGACCTCATAAGCACGTGAAGGTTGGATAGTGAGTAATGAAGAACAGAAAAATAATTGATGCGTTTGAATTGTTGTGCTGGTTAAAAAAAAAGGAAAGTATCATGGATTGCTAGAGGAAAAAACAAATCTGTTTTGGAGAAAGCACAGTCAGAATATTACTTTGAAGTGATGATGCCTACCCTATGAACAATCAGTTGTTGTGATGCAGCCCTGCTCAATACCTACCCTCAGAAAGGGACCCCTGGAGATAGGGGTGCTAAAGCTAAGGGTGGTGAAGAAAACAGATGGTGCCCACCTATCAGAAAGAATAGAGTCTGGTCTTATAATTCTGTCTTTGAACAACAAGACATCTAAGTGAGGTGTTGGGTAATCTCACACAGAAGAAGCACACCAGATCAGAGATCTGCGTAAACTCCCAGATCAGAGAAGGAAATTGTATTAGAACTTCTATTCTGAGCGCCCTGTTTGCAGAAGGCAAAAGTGACCTTGAAAGCCTCAAATCCACGTGCAGAATTCCCACAGGGATTCAGCCTACATTGGACTCCCTTGGCTCATCAAGCAGGGATGGGGGTAGCACATGCTGAAGGATGAGGTCTTCTTCATCAGTAAGTGCTTCACATTGTCCTGTATTTCAGCAAGCAAGGTTGCTGATGCTGACTTTATTCTTCCTGCAGTCTAGCTTCTCAGATGATCTGCTCAGCGTCCAGCAACGCTGATGCACACTTTTCTTGGATTCAAATAATGTGGTGTACCCTGAGTAGCCTTGAGAAAAATGTCAATTTCAGAACACGTAATTGTGCTCATGTGGAATCTGAACATGGACTGAGAGGCAGTTGTGTAAACAGGACGAGGGAACCCTGCATGGTTTAAAACGTTAAGAAGGTGTTCAACGGGGTTGTGTCCATACTTATTCAACCTGTATGCTCAGCAATCAGAAAAATTGGATTATATGAAAAGGAATAGGACTTCAGGATTGGAGGAAGACTTATTTACAACTATTGATATACAGATAATATCACCTTACTTGCTGAAAGTGAGGAGGACTTTAAGCCCTTGCTGATGAAGATTAAGGATCGCAACCTCCTGTAGGGACAGGCCCAAGGTCAAGAAAACCTCTCAGATACATTTCTATTGGTCAAACACGACCAGGAAGGCTACCTCCTCCTCACCATTACTTTTAGATCCCTTGTTATTCCCATCTCTGTCATTATTGGCTAGTCACTCCTCCTTTCCCCGCACCCCTGCCTTCTCCTCTCACATGTTCCCCAACCCACCCCCAACCTTTGGTCTGGTTGCCATCTTCTTGGTATTGTTTATCCTGCCTATCTTATATAGATAGACACCAAAGGAGAAACCAAAAAACTGAAAAAGGAAAAGGAAAAGAAAAAAATGAGCCCATGCAAATAGTTCTGTGTCTAACTATTGTCCTGACCCGGAGCAGATGAGTGTCCTTCTGTTAAATAGAGATCAGGCCCTGATAAAATCTATTGGTCCATTTCCATTTTTGTTTGGGGATCCGTCTCCCAGGACCTGCTTACCCTAAAAGCACTATACCCCTTTAGTCCTCAGTGTTTGTGTCTGGGGGTGTGCCTTCTTTCTACAAGACCCCATTGCTCTTCCTGCACTCACGGCTTGAGCAGTCTGTGCTCCAGCCACACTCCATTACACCTTTAACTCGCGGTGTGGCCCCCTTGTGAGTATCCCCCCACCAGTTCAGATGAGGTGTCAAGTGCTGCCCCTGAGCCAGATGTCGGCTATCAAGATTCCTCAGGGACTTTGTGTCTTTGCTTCCCTTGCCTAAGTATGTTTTGAGTTGAATTTGCACATAAGTTGGTATGGTTTGTACCTAGTGTCAATTAGTTAAATGTTTTAATTGCTATGTAGTACATTTTTATACAAAAAATAAAAAAATTTATTTCCAGTTACATGAAAAACATTTTAACATACTATTACAGTAAATATAATTTTATATGCATTACAAAGTAGCACCTACTTGTGACTATGAATAATTGCATGGACCTTGAGCTTTTAATCTACTAGACTTTGCAGGAGTTAGTTTATAAATAGAAGTTGTATGTAAATTGGACATTCATAGCCCACTATTGACTGTACTAAACTTTAGCCAATTGTAAAAGATTGTTCTGAATAATATGTGAAAGATTTCCTCCTCAAATGTACGTGATTGTTCTTCTGAATGTCAATGTCATATCCGTGGAATATGAGTGGTTCCCAAGTATGCTTTTGGGGAACCTAGAGTGACCGACACTCGAGTGTCCTTCCAACCTTGGGTCTGGTTTCTGTCCTCTTTTGAGACCCTGCAGGATTCATTCTTGGAAGAGCCTCTCCCACACGTAGTGAAGGCCTATTTATCCTTCTTGTTGGCTTCTCTGCAATCAGCTCAACTCAGAAAGACCTTATGTGCAACAGAACCAAATATTTCTCAGTCCGGAGTTATCCTTCCAATGATCAGAATGTTCACATCCATCTTTGCAACTACTGTGTCACTTCATCTTACTAAAGACCGTTAGTGGCCTTCGACATAAAATGTGATGTCTTCTTCTAGGGATTAATATCTCCTGATGACATGTTCAAAACAAAAGAGTTGGACAATGCTCTCTTGTGATTCATAGCTTTTCAATGGCTAAATTTGGAAGTAGATCACCATTCCTTTCTTCCTATTATTTCTCAGTCTGGAAGTTCCACTACAGCTTGGGAACCATAGTGGTCCTGCTGGTACCAGTAGCACAATTTCCAGTATCACATCAACATGCCATGGCAGACAAACTGACAGACAAGTGGTGGAACTAATCATAAATCCTCAATATTACCTTACTGTATGTTTCACTAATCATAGTGCTCATGTAAATTAGAATTATTAATAGAGATTGAAGCCATGAACACCCTATGCAGCAAAAGAAGTATGAATAAAGTTTGTCTATTTGTGGGTAATATAATCTGATATTTGGAACATGCCAAAAAGTCCACAATAAAACAGCTAGAAAAATCTAATTGAGGAATTAATACAAAATACTAGGAACTTGGGAAGCATTTCAAACCAAACTCATTGCCATCAAGTTAATTCTCACTCATAGCATTCCTATAGGACTGGACTGGGTTTCTGAGACCATAATTCATTATGGGAGTAGAAAGCCTCATCTATTTCCTACAGAGTGGCTGGTGGTTTCAAACTACTGACCTGTTGATTAGTATCCCAACAAAAAAATTAATGTAAGGCAATAGTGATGATAGATGCAATGATTTTATAATTTCACTAGGGTCAAACTCTACCATGTATTTCAGATTTCAATTTGTATTAATATAATGTTGTTGACTTTTTCTTTTTAAGTTCTTCTGAAATGTTTTGCTCATGGATTCCACTATGCTTAGTAGAGAGTTTTGTGGTCAGAGAGAAGTAGGAGCATGAACGCGTATTTCTGATTATACGTGTTAATGAGGAAAACAAGAGGTATTGTTGTGAGCAATCTATGTATACCATACAGACTCACAGACACACATGTTCCACAGAAGTAAACACTGTCCAGTCCAGCACCACCCTCATAACTCTTATGTTTGAGCACATTATTGCAGATGGTCTCAAGCCCATCTCGTCAAGGGTTTTCCTGTTGTGTTTTGCTGATCCTTGACCAAGCATGATGTCCTTTTGCAGGGAATGGTTTTTCCTGATAAAATGGCTAAAGTCCATAAGAGGAAGTGTTGTCATCCTTGTTTCTGAGGAACATTCTCACTATCCTTCTTCCATAGCAGATTTGTTTGTTCTTCTGGCAATACATGGTGTTTCAATATTCTTCACTAACAGGATAATTCAAATGCATTAACGAAAATTCAGATGAGGGATCCTCTGATTTTCGTGTTCATTGTCCAACTTTCACATGCACTTGAGACAATTGATCACAGCATGGTCAGGCATACTTTAGTCCTCAAAATGACAGTCTTGCTTTCCAACACTTTGAAGAGATCTTGGGCAGCGTATTTGCCCAATGCAATATATTTCTTGATTTCTTGACTGCTACTTCCAGGAGCATTGATTGTGGATCCAATCAAAATGTGGATAATTGCCCGCAAGTCAATTCCTACTCATACTGGCCGTTTGTGTGCAAAATAGAACTACCCAATAGGTTTTCAAAGCTGTGACCTTTTGGAAGCAGATCACCACAATTGTCTTTTTATTTTTGTGATACCTCTGTGTCTGATGACCAGCTGTTGGACTGGAACCTGTGTTTAATCACTTGCACGACCAAAGGACTCTTGATGGTCAATAGTCAGTGCTATTGTTCTACTTTGAAGAGAACAAAATTGAGACGGCAGAAGTGACTCAATCTTCTCATGACAGTTACTCCTCATAAAACGAATAAATCGCCCAGCTCTTCCATCAGCATCTCTGTTTCTGAAGCTCAAATGACTAAAATACTAGCCAATTAACTGTCAGCCGCAATGTGGTTAGCAGAGACCTCAAGCTGTGCTCCCTGGCTCTCTTTCTTCTCAGGTACTGTGGCTCCTACATGGATCACCAAACCATTTTCCGAGTGCCCAGCCCCGTTGTTCACATCCAGCTCCAATGCAGCTCAAGGCTCTCGGAGAAGCCACTGCTGGTGGAATACGGCAGTTACAACATCAGCCAACGTAAGCTGGGGATTCACTCCTTAGAACAGCGTCATAAAAAGTCAGATGGAGGGTAATACTTTATCGTGTTAAACTTTGAGAATCAAAGGTATGGCAATGAGTACAACCAGAGGAAAATAATGTAGTTTTTTTTGTGTGTGGTATTACTGATTAGTAAACACCAAACCAAATCCATTGCCATCAAATTGAGTCCAATCATAGTCACCGTGTACAGGGTTCCTGAGATGATACATCTTTACAGAAACAGCCTCACTCTTCTCCCACAGAAGTGTTGGTGGTTTTGCACTGCCGGCCTTATAGTTAGCAGTCCAAGGCCTGACTCAGAGCACCACCAGAGGTCCTTTATTACTGGTTAGCAATTGAAAATATGATTTCTCATAGATCACTGAGATATAGGACATGCCCTTTCCTTGATCTGCTGTTCTGGCAAGACATGCTTTGTTGTACCTACGATGTCCTAGGAATCCATGAGGATATGACTTGGGAGAAAGATCCTTTAGATCTTTAGATCTAAAGATCCTTTAGACCAGGCACTTCTTGGCCAATGTCCAACATACTTGCTTCCGGGTTCAGACTATTACAATTTCAGACAAAGACAGAGGGACATAGTGTCTTACTTTCATTTTTTTCTCCTGGGTTTAAATGCAGTCACTAATGCCGACTTTCTAAGTTAAGGGGTTCTTAATGGATTTGGGGAACAGAGATCATTTTAGAATGTAATTAAAGACAGGCACTGCTCAGAATAATGCATCTGATCACAGAGAATTCAGAGATCTGAATTCTCTGAATTCAGAAGTCTAAAGATGGAGGAGTCCAAACACTGCCTATTAAGGATACTGGATTCTAAATTTCCTTCCAGCTTTTATATTCTTCCAGTCTATGATTTAGCCCAAGAGCTGAGTGAAGGAGACAATAGAATTTTGGCTGTTCATATGAACTAAATACAACATCAACTGAAACATTCTAGTACATTAGTTAGCTTTATTATTTTTTCCTCCTATGGTCTGCTGTTTTGTCCTAATCTGGTGGAAGCATTACCTAATCACTACTCTGACCTTGACAACTCCCCAACTACTTAACATGTTGTATTTCTGTTCCAAGAGCCCTTTTCTCTATCTGTTGTTCTTGGTAGGCATAATTTTTTGAACCTATGATGTGTGGAAGCACATCAAGTGGATTTGAGACCACTCGCTGTGGCTCACTTTGGCTGTGACAGTAAGGGAGAGCTGGCCAGTCAAAGAGAGATCAAATGCTAACCCTGGAATGATGAACTTGAAATTCGCACAGACAGTCACAGGAAGAGTGACCAGGAAGAGGTCTGTAGAGAGGACAGTGTTCAGCGGACATAGCGGGTTATGGTGTTGGGCTGCTAACCACAAGGTCAGTAGTTAGAAACCACCAGCTGTCCTGTAGGAGAATGATGAGGCTTTCTCTCTCGTAAATATTTGCAGTCTTGGCAACCCACAAGTGCAGTTTTGCTCTATCCTAGAAGCTCACCATGGGTCAGAATCACTTGATGGCAGTGCGTTATGTTTTTGTTTACGGCCTGGTAATTTTTAGGGGCTTATGGAAATGTTTCTTTTTGTTGCCTCTAGCTTGTCCCACCGGATTTTTCAGGTGCTCCTCTGGCTTGTGTGTCCCTCAGACTCAGCGCTGTGATGGGGTCAACGACTGCTTTGATGAGAGCGATGAACTCTTCTGTGGTGGGTATTTCAGTGTTCCTTGTGACTTTTAAAAGAATAGATAACATGTCAGGGAATTGCTGCTACTGGGGTGCATGATTGCTTTTATAGCTGTTATCCATAAGTACATATCAAAGTGTCTCCAAAATCAGTGGCTTACCGCAATCGTTTCTTCATGTGGGTCGTTGGGGATATGACTAATGTCGGATGGCATCAGTTGTGTAGTTCTGCTTCAAGCTGTGGATTCTTCTAAGCCCGGCTTATTCCAGCAGGTGGAGATTAGATTGCCTCCACGTGATCTGTTCCTGTTGGGAGCAGCCGCCAGTCATCACAATGGCCTACCAAAAAGATCGATGGAAAGAAACACGTGGTTCGTCTTAAGCCTTGAACCTGGAACTGGCACACTGTCATTCGTGTCCGCATTCCCTTGGTCGAAGCAAATCTGCTGAAGCCAAAGTCAAGGGGCAGAGACATTTACGTAGCTTCATGTCCAGGTTGGAATGCAGATGCAGCAAAGATCTGAAATGAATTTTTTTTTTTTCCAAAACCATTTTCTTGGAAGCGAATACAGATATAATATCATTCCATATTTCAATCACATCAAGCAGTAGTATACAATTGCTGCCACAGTTTACATTCTCTTCTTTCTTGTACTCAGCTCCTCTTTATTTTTTTAAAATCATTTAATTGGGGGCTCATACAACTCTTATCACAATCCGTACATCCATCCATTCTATGTCAAGCACATTTGTACATTTGTTGCCATCATCACTCTCAAAACATTTGCTTTCTGCTTGAGCCCTTGGTATCAGCTCCTCATTTTTCCCCCTTTCTTCCCTTCCTCATGAACACTTGATAATTTAAAAATTATTATTATTTTTTCATATCTTACACCACCCAGCGTCTCCCTTTACACACTTTTCTGTTGTCCAGCCCGCAGGGAGGAGGTTATATGTAGATCCTTTTGATTGGTTCCCCCTTTCCACCCCACCCTCCCTCCACCCTCCAGGTATTGCCACTCTCAGCACTGGTCCTGAAGGGTTCATCTGTCCTGGATTACCTGTGTTTCCAGTTCCTATCTGTACCAGTGTATATCCTCTGGTCTAGCCAGATTTGTAAAATAGAATTGGGATTGTGATAGTGGAGTGGGTGGCGGGGGGAAGGAAGCATTTAGGAACTAAAGGAAAGTTGTATGTTTCATCATTGTATCAGCTCCTCTTTACCTTCTCCTCCAACCCTTTCCACTGTACCCACCAGAAACTCCGACTCTGCTTATTGTTTCTATAGGATCCTCAGTTCTGGTTGTCATATAGTGAAAAAGAAAAACATAACACAAATTCAAGAGGGCTACCCTCAATGACAAAATATGTTAGAGATAAGCTCCATTATGAAAACACACACACACACACACACACACACACACACACACACACACACACAGCAAATGTTGAAAAGCAGATCAGTCCCACTGCGTATCAGAGTGGGATCAAGTAACAAGGTTTTAACTCTTCTAGTCAGGCTTATCATTTTGATCTCTAGAGTCATTTCTCCAATAACTCTGTTTGGTAACCAGTTTATTCCCATCCCTCCATCAGGGACAGAGGGAAATCAGCATAGGCTTATTTTCTGTGAGATCACACAAATGTATCTTGGGTTTCCACTGTCTTCTGTAAACCAGAATCTCACAATGTAGGCTCTGAGAAAACACCCTCTTTCAGCTTCATATTATATGATTTACATATTATATGATTTACATCCTCGCATCACTGACGATGGTGTACTTCTTCCACGTGCACTTAATTGACCTCTCACTTAAATGGCTGCTTGTTTGAAAATAAGCCTTTAAGACCCTAGCTATTTTATTTGCTGGCCAGGCACCATCTAATTTCTTTACCACACTTTGCTATCGCACCCATATCTTCTGAGTTCCCTTCCTGAGGGCGAGTATCGGGCAGGGCCATGAAGTCAGGACTAATTGTTTTTAAGTTGGAGCTAGGATTTAATACCAGCCCCCAAATCCATTCCTGGGTCCATATTTTCTTATCTGCTTTGGGTGCCTTTGCTAATGTGGGTCCTTGTTAATTGATAATAGATAGTCTTATTGATCATAATAAAAATGGAGCATAATGATCTTCCATTGATATCATTATTGATTAGCCCTCAGTACTAATTTTTTTGGTCTGCATTTAATTTTTTTAATTTTCACTTTTTATTAAAACATCATTTTATTTGGGGCTCTTACAGCTCTTATAACAATCCATACATCAATCGTCTCAAGCATATTTGTACATGTGTTGCCATCATTATTTTCTAGGCATTTATTTTCTATTGAGCCCTTGGTATCAGCTCCTCTTTTTTCCCTCCCTCCCCTCACCCTCGTGACCCCTTGATAAATTACAAATTATTATTATTTTCATATTTTACACTGACCACTGTCTCCCTTCCCACGGTTTCTGTTGTTCGTCCCCCTGGTGGGGGTGTGGGTGGTCAGTCTCAATCACTGACATCGGGTTCCCCTTCCTCCCCTTCTCTCTCCACCTCTTCCCCTACCCTTCTGGTATTGCTACTCCCATTCCTGTTCCTGGATTCCATGTGTCGTGAGCTCTTATCTCTTGTTGTACCTGTGCACACGCTCCGGTCTAGCCCACAGTGAGAAGCAGTACTGGGGTCATGATAGTGGGGGTGGGGGGGTGAGGAAGCCTCAAGGAACCAGAGGAATATTGTGTGTTTCTTCAGTGTTTTACTGCACCCTGGTTGACTCATCCCTTCCTTGTGACCCTTCTGTAAAGGGATGTCCCATTGGCTACAGATGGGTTTTGGGTCTCTGCTCTGATCCCCCTCATTCTCATTTTTGTTTGTTTGTTTTGGGTCTTCTGATGCCTAATACCTGGTCCCAATGACACCTCATGATCGCACAGGCTGGCGTGCTTCCTCCATGTGGGCTTGTTGCTTCTCTGCTAGATGGCTGCTTGTTTAACTTCAAGCCTTTATGTCCCCAAGATGCCATATCTTTTGATAGCCAGACACCATCAGCCTCTCACCACATTTGCTTATGTACCTATTTTATCTTCAGTGATTGTGCCGGGGTGGGGGTGGGCGCGCACGCGTGTGTGTGTGTGTGTGTGTGTGTGTGTGTGTGTGTGTGTATCACGGAATGCCACTTTGTTAGAACAAAGTGTTCTTGTATTGAGGGAGGGTATGAGCAGAGGCCCAAAGTCCGTCCGCTACCTCAGTGTTTTGCCATATAAATATACATACTTAGGCCAATACCTCTGTTTTTATGAATTAATATTTTACATATGTACACATCTATGCTTATATCTCTATCCATAGCTTTGCTTCCTAGATCTTTCCTCTGTTTCCTTTTACCTTCCTCCTGTCCCACCATCACACTTGCTCTTCTTCTGCCTCTCAGTAGTTCTTCTCAGCTAGATTGCTGTTGCTCCAACACCAGGATCTCTATATCCTCCTCATTGTTGATTTTTTTCATTGTTGATTTTAATTCCCTGGTTATTCCCCTGTCTATGGCGTTGTTTGCTCACCGCTCCCTTCCCCCACTACTTATCTTACACTATACGGGTTGAGATACAGGCATACAATGATTAAGCACTTAGCTGTTAACCAATAAGTCAGTGGTTCAAACCCACAAGCTGCCAGGTGGAAATAAAGATGTGACAGTCTGTTTCCATAAGATTACAACCTCGGAAATCTTATGGGCAATTCCGCTCTATCTTACAGGACCCCTATTGAGTTGGGATCGACACAACAGCAAAGGATATACAGTCATTGGGCGGCTTTTCTTTTCTCTCTTTCTTTCCCTATAACTTTTTATTGTGCATTGGATGAAGGTATACAAAACAGATCATCAACTTTACATTCAGCAATTCATCCACTTTTGTTTCCTCTCCTTCCTTACAGACCTCTCAATCTAACATCACTTACCCCACTTTCCCACCTGTGTTTCCTGTGTCCATTCCCATTCTTTCCTAGTTCTCTGAACTTTGTCCTGGGGGAAATGCTGCCCTTGTCATCTCAAATAGGTAATGATTCAAAACTGTCTGACCCTCACTAGTGTTACTGTTCCCTTGAGAGACCCATCTAAGGTTTGGCTGAAAATTATGCCATGGAGTGGATTTTACTTCCAGACCCGGAGGCTAACTTATAGAGGTGATAGCAGTCTTTATCTGACCGGTAAGCTGGTCTATTTTATGATTTTGTTGCACATTTTTTTCTCCCACTCTATGCAGGATCTTCTGTGTGATCTCTTTCATAGAAGTTGGTAGTTGGAGCCAGGCACCATCTAGTTCTTCTGGTCTCAGGGTCCTGGAGGCTGGTGTCCACGTGGTTTTTAGTCCATTGTATTAATTGTTCTTTTGTGTCTTCCATTTTTATCACTTTGGTTGGCTGTTCATGAGCTTTTAAGACTCCAGTTCCCACCTACTTTTTGGAGTTCAAAACAATCTCCAAATCAGCAGTGCCTTGCTTATTCTGGGTTTAATTCCTTTCCATGTAAAATTGGTGAATCACTTTTTCCCTCTTTAAAGAATGATGCTGGAATCTGGCCCGGTTGGTATTATAGCCGTAGATAATTTTACATACTATTGACATTTTCACAATATTAAATCTTTCTATTCATAAATGTGGCATTTTCTTCCACTCTATGCTTCTTTTTCTTTTTTTAAATTTTATTTTATTTGTATGGTTTTCTGATTATATCTGTTACTCAATATTTAATCTTTTGGATGGTGTATTAGTCTGGGCACTTTGGAGAAACAAATCCACAGCAACTCACGTATAAGAGAGAGTTTTATGCAAAGAAAATGTGCATCACAAAAACATCCCAACCCAATGCTTCCCAAGCCCACAAGTCCAACATTAACCCATACCCAACACGAGTCCACGAAGTCCTTCACCTCACAAAACAGAGGCAATAATGCCGACTGCAGGAGGAAAGCTGAGTCAGTGAACGAATAAGCATCTCAGCACTGGCAGGGGTCTCCACATGGCTGCTCCAGCACCCA